TGTGTGGTGTGTGTGGTTTTGTGTGTGTGTGTGTGTGGGGTGGTGTGTGTGGTGTGTGTATGTATGTGGTGTGTGTGTGTGTATGTGTGTGTATGTGTGTGTGTGTGTGTCTTCTATAAGACTTCAGTGAAATACTTTTTTTGATTGAACAAGCGTGTCTCAATATTTGGGTATAACTTTTTTTTATGGAAATTAAATAAAAATATATAAAACAAACAAAATTAATTATAACTGCACAGCAAATTATTACAATTCACTCATGTTCCCCTTCAAAATATGTTCACCAACCCCTGAGGGTATGCGTACCCAAGTCTGGGAATCTCCCTGATATAAATAAACAGTTATATAAACAAATTATTCAAGCAGAAAGTTAAACCAAGAAAACAAATGCAAACAAAAAAGTATATGATCATGAACGGTTCAAAACTTCTATCAGAGAGAATGTGAGTACAGGGTATACTAACTTGTTTCCGGAGTTCTCAAACCAGAAGCGATCTCCATCCCGTATACGCTGAAACTGGTCCACGATGACTCTATGGACACAAGAAATGACTTAAACAGAAACGTCACTTGAGAATACACCTCCTGTCAATCATATTCTCTTATATTCTCTCTCTCTCTCTCTCTCTCTCTCTCTCTCTCTCTCTTCTCTCTCTCTCTCTCTCACACACACACACACACACACACACACACACACACACACACAATTTTTAAAAAGGGAGACAGACATGAGGCACTAAACTACAGACCTGTATCACTAACGTGTATAGTATGCAAGGTCATGGAGAAGATCATCAGGAGGAGAGTGGTGGAGCACCTGGAAAGAAACAAGTGTATAATTGACAACCAGCACGGTTTCAGGGAAGGAAAATCCTGTGTCACAAACCTACTAGAGTTTTATGACAAGGTGACAGAAGTAAGACAAGAGAGAGAGGGATGGATCGACTGCATTTTTTTGGACTGCAAGAAGGCCTTCGACACAGTTCCTCACAAGAGGTTACTGCAAAAGCTAGAGGATCAGGCACACATAACAGGAAAGGCACTGCAATGGATCAGAGAATACCTGACAGGGAGGCAACAACGAGTCATGGTACGTGACGAGGTGTCAGAGTGGGCGCTTGTGACAAGCGGGGTTCCACAGGGGTCAGTCCTAGGACCTGTGCTGTTCTTGGTATATGTGAACGACATAACGGAAGGGATAGACTCAGAAGTGTCCTTGTTTGCAGATGATGTGAAGTTAATGAGAAGAATCAAATCGGATGAGGATCAGGCAGGACTACAAAGAGACCTGGACAGGCTACAAGCCTGGTCCAGCAACTGGCTCCTTGAGTTTAACCCTGCCAATGCAAAGTCATGAAGATTGGGGAAGGGCAAAGAAGACTGCAGACACAATATAGTTTAGATGGCCAAAGACTGCAAACCTCACTCAAGGAAAAAGATCTGGGGGTGAGTATAACACCGAGCATATCTCCTGAGGCGCACATCAATCAGATAACTGCTGCAGCATACGGGCGCCTGGCAAACCTACGGATAGCGTTCCGATACCTCAGTAAGGAGTCGTTCAAGACTCTGTATACCATTTACGTCAGGCCCATACTGGAGTATGCAGCACCAGTTTGGAATCCACACCTAGTCAAGCACGTCAAGAAATTAGAGAAAGTGCAAAGGTTTGCAACAAGGCTAGTCCCAGAGCTACGGGGATTGTCCTACGAAGAAAGGTTGAGGGAAATCGGCCTGACGACACTGGAGGACAGGAGGGTCAGGGGAGACATGATAACGACATATAAAATACTGCGCCGAATAGACAAGGTGGACAAAGACGGGATGTTCCAGAGATGGGACACAGACACAAGAGGTCACAATTGGAAGTTGAAGACTCAGATGAATCAAAGGGATGTTAGGAAGTATTTCTTCAATCATAGAGTAGTCAGACAGTGGAATAGCCTAGAAAGTGACGTAGTGGAGGCGGGAACCATACATAGTTTTAAGGCGAGGTATGATGAAGCTCATGGGGCAGGGAGAGAGAGGACCTAGTAGCAATCAGCGAAGAGGCGGGGCCAGGAGCTATGACTCGACCCCTGCAACCACAAATAGGTGAGTACAAATAGGTGAGTACACGCACACACACACACTCACACACACACACACACACACACACACACACACACACACACACAAACGTTACCTGGAAAATAGCTGTCCTGGTCTGTTAGTAGTCTCCAGTAGACCTCCGGCCCATATATCAACCTTATTGGGATCATTGTCATAAACCATAGAGAGGTTCCTAATCACCTGTTGGGTAAGATTTTGAAGTTATAACAGACTTTTTTTTAGACTAATGAATTTTTCATGTGAAAAATAACTAATTCCGCGTATAATTATAATTATTAGTAGTACTAATAGTAGTAGCAGCAGTAGTAGTAATAGATTCATATGGAAGTGACGAAATCGAGGAAGTCATACAGTACCTCAGGAACTGAAGGTAAAGAGGTCAGATCCTGTCTAGTTTTACTGGCTGATATATGAAAGTGTAAGTTTGCGTGTTAATATCAATTGTTAGATTTTCTTTTGCTGCTGGAATAAAGTGATGAAAAAGAGACACCAAACAGTGTCAGGCTTTATAAAGAAGCTTCATTCCTGGAAAGCTTCATGAAGTTATGACAATAAAACTTCCATGAACGAGACACTGCAATAAAGAATTTGGCTGTATTATGTTGCATTTTCACCCACTTAGTTAAAAATCTCTCATACTTACTGGAATAAACGTATACTAGTGGTGTGCCAATGTTTGACTGACAGGTGTAGTTAAGCAAAGTTTGCAGAGTGAGGCGTCATCTGTAGATAATTCCATGTAACTGTATTTGTCTCTGTCATCTCAGTATCTTATACGAGTGCTCTTGAACCTTCCTCGGAGCGGGTCACACTTGCGATGCTTTCTGAAGAACTGGGACACCCTGTTTTCAGGTAAGCTGAACTTGCTACTCGCAGGCATCAGAACACAAGAAAATCGCCACCTCCTTGGTACCACAAGCAAGAGATTGCTACTTGGCGAGCCTCTCAGTCATCCTTGGCCACTGTGCCCACACAGACACACAGTGCCACACTGTGCCCACACAGACACACAGTGCCCACACTGTGCCCACACAGACACACAGTGCCCACACTGTGCCCACACAGACACACAGTGCCCACACTGTGCCCACACAGACACACAGTGCCCACACTGTGCCCACACAGACACACAGTGCCCACACAGACACACAGTGCCCATACAGACACACAGTGCCCACACAGACACACAGTGCCCACACAGACACACAGTGCCCACACAGACACACAGTGCCCACACAGACACACAGTGCCCACACAGACACAGTGCCCACACAGACACACAGTGCCCACACAGACACAGTGCCCGCACAGACACACAGTGCCCACACAGACACACAGTGCCCACGCAGACACACAGTGCCCACACACACACCCCAGTGCCCCACACACACACACAGTGCCCACACAGACACAGTGCCCACACAGACACACAGTGCCCACACAGACACACAGTGCCCACACAGACACACAGTGCCTACACAGACACACAGTGCCCACACAGACACACAGTGCCCACACAGACACACACTGCCCACACAGACACACAGTGCCTACACAGACAGTGCCCACACAGACACACAGTGCCTACACAGACACACAGTGCCCACACAGACACACAGTGCCCACACAGACATACAGTGCCTACACAGACACACAGTGCCTACACAGACACACAGTGCCTTCACAGACACACAGTGCCCACACAGACACACAGTGCCCACACAGACACACAGTGCCCACACAGACACACAGTGCCCACACAGACACACAGTGCCCACACAGAACACAGTGCCTACACAGACACACAGTGCCCACACAGACACACAGTGCCTACACAGACACACAGTGCCCACACAGACACACAGTGCCCACACAGACACACAGTGCCCACACAGACACACAGTGCCCACACAGACACACAGTGCCTACACAGACACACAGTGCCCACACAGACACAGTGCCCACACAGACACACAGTGCCCACACAGACACACAGTGCCCACACAGACACAGTGCCCACACAGACACACACACACTGCACACACACACACTGCCACACACACTGCACACACACACACACACACACTGCACACACACACACACTGCACACACACCACACACACTGCACCCCACACACACTGCACACACACACACACACACACATACACACACGTGAAGCAGTATCGCTAAATAGTGCTCCAGGATTTAGCGTTCTAGTGGCTGTCCTAGATATTATTAGCGGTCATCGTACGTGAGTGAATCAGTGAACATACCTAAAAAGACTGTAATTTGCTTTCAAGAGTGCGAATAATGTGATAGGATCAAGAATTTTTTCAATTTTAAAATTTGAATGAAATTTTAGTGAGGGAGGGGAGCAGTCAGCTGATCAGGCTACTGGCCGCAGTGTTGACAAAATATCCCAAAAAGTTAATTGGGTTAAACGGGGTTTGAAAAAATTAACAAATACATATGTTGGTTGATTATAGCAGCAGGTGTAGTGATAAGGTCATAAAAGAGGATTAAGTAAATACTGAAAGTAAAAAAATTAGTCAATCCCCAGCTGTTGGTGTTGTGAATGTAGCTAACCCTCATCAGACTTGTTATGACCATAATACTGTACTAAAGAAAAAAAGAGGGAATACCAAGTTTAAAGAAAAAAAAATAAAAAATTGAATGCATGATAAAATTCCTGAAGGAGTTACAAAAATTGAAGGAGTTGATAGACGACCAGCAGGAACCTCCATTGTTGTGCAGACGACATCACTTGCCTATTTGTGGTTAATTTTGGTTAGTGTCTAAAGTCTCAAGTGTCTCGCCCTGCTGGTTGTATGCTATACCATCTCTCTCTCCCTATTTCAGTACCAGGAGATAGATAGTGGTTAGTAAATTATCTAAATATCGCCAGGTAAACTCCAGAAGAGTTGTGTAGCCTAGTGAACCCCCCCCCCCGTTTTTCTGAGGGACAAGCTAGTAAACAAGTACGCACAAAACAAACGCACGTGTGCACCCGTAATTATTGTTATAATAAACATTAGTATATAATAATAAGGAATTGAGTGAGAAAAAATAATCCTATAATCTTCAAAAAGTAAAGTAGCCTAGTGTGCGGAGATCTGGGCCGGGAGAGTACCGGTGAACCAACAACAATAACAAATAGTGTTAACGTGACCCCCCCCCTCTTTTTCAAAGAACGATAAGCTAGTAAACACACACACACACACACAAACACAAGTGTACGCAATTAATATTATATAGTATATATTAGTGCATATAATAAGGAATTGATTGTGAAATTTTTTTTTATAATCTTCAAAAGAGTAGCGTAGCCTAGTGTGCGCACGCACACCCACACACCCACACACACCCCCACACACACTCACACCCACCCACACACACCCACACACACCCCCACACACACCCACCCAAACCCACCCACACACCCACCCACACCCCCACCCACACACCCACCACACACCCCCCACACACACCCCACACACACCCCCACACACACCCCCACACACCCCCCCCACACACACCCCCACACACACCCCCCACACACACCCCCACACACACCCCCACACACACACCCACACAAACACACACACCCACCCACCACCCACCCACACCCACCCACGCACCCCCCACCCCTCCCCACACACACACACGCAACACACACACAACACACACACACAACACACACAAAACACACAACACACCACACACACACACACAATTGCCAGACTCACACATACACTCCCCCCCCCCAACCGACATCTCACTCCTTCACCTGATCCCTCCCCCCCTTCCCTCACCCACTTACCCACTTGCTTCACTCCCCTTTCCCCACTCCCCCTCCCCACTACTCTCCCATATAGCCACAGTTCCTCCTCTACCTCCCCCCCCCACTCTGACTATACAATACTATCCTAACATACAGAATTACATAGGTTTCCCACTCTGAGGCAATCAGGATAAAAAAAAAATGGGTTGCCAGAGAGCAACAAGAAAACCCAAGGGACAGGAGGAGGGAAACTGAAAAGGAAGATTGGGCAGCAGAGCTCACAAAAAGGGAACAAGAATGGGAAAAAGAAACTAGAAGAACTTAGCATGAGAAGGGAAAGAGAGGATAGACATGGAAAGCAGGAAGTGGGAAGGTGAAAGTCAAAGCAGCAGAGGCCGGGATACGAGTTTAGAAGAGGAACTGGAAAAATCTGAAACAGCCAAAAGAACTAAAGAACATTATGGGATTGACAACAGAGACCGCTCCCTCAGCCACAAATAAGGGGACTGTAGGGGAAAGGAGGAGCAAAACTGCATGTGAAGCTCTATCAGTGGAGACTGTAGTAAATGAAAGAGCTAAGCTATATGTGGGGGCCCCTAAAAGACCACAACAGAGCCCAGGAAAGCCGAGAAGGGAAAATGACAGGCCACTGAGCCCATGTACAGTAGCTAGTGAAACTGAAGAAAAGGAAAGCGCAATGGAGGAAATCAAATTGAATGAGGGGATACACAGGGATATGCAGTGGGAGAATAAAAGGGGTGAGGTCAGTCTTTGTGTATGGGCTACAGGTAGTTGAAGGGGAAACATATGAAGCAAGAAAACAAGGGGAAAAAAAAAGGCAATTAAAAAGCATCATGAAAGTAATCGGTGAAGACGACATGACCCAGCTGGAAAATTTTCGGAGAATGGGGGGGTTTGTAAAAAAAAAAAAACCCGGCCAGTGAAAGTGACCTTAAAGGGCCCAGAATCGATCGGAACAGGATATGCGGGAAAAAAAGCACGATTAAGGGACATCCCGGTATCAGGAAGGTGTATCTCGACCGCGACAGAACACAAGACGAAAGGCGGAAACTGAGAGAGATGATACAAAGGCGAAAGGAGGAAAGAGAGGGGATGGAGAAGACAGACAGGAGATTTCAGACACAGGAAGAAGATCAAATACAACCTCCCTCACAGCTTCCTATAGAAGCCTCCCAACAGGTCAACCCCAGTGCAGCCAAACCTCTAAACCAAAACACCCATCCCATATCCAATCCCCCCACCCACTACATTACAAACTCCCCCCCCACAGCAACCACCCATAGTTCTTATCAGGTTTTCCCATTTCCCCCAACCCAATACACCTCCCAGACCACAGTCTTAGAAAAGAAGTTGAAGGTATGGTAAAACAAATGCAGAT